AAATGTTTATATTTATCTGTTATTTAAAAAGTATTATCAATCACCTATTGATTTTTTTTAACTGTTTTAATTAAGTTTTCATTAAATAACTATACATATATGGAATTAAGATTTCTAGGAAAGTTATTTCTTATGAAAGACAAATCAAAGCTTTAAATGGCATTCTGTAATTTTTTGACACAAAACATTCGGTTAGGCAGTCAACATACTCGTTGTTTCCACCAGTGAGACATTGAATTAAACCATCAAAGTTTGGAAACTCTTACAGGTTTTGTAGATGTAAAAGAATAGTTATGTTATGTAAAGGAAATGAGCAGAATGATGCATTCTCCAGTTGCATGTGGCCGTTCTAACAAAAATAATTGTGATTTCCTCTTACTATTCATTAAAGGTAATATAATGTTGAGTGAAGCACAGAAGGCACAAGACAAAACAAAAAAGATCTAATGATCCAAAGGAACATTCTTTGAGAGTATGTTCTATGCAGTCGTAAGTGCAACTGACCATGTGATGCTGTTTTGCTTGTCAATCAAGGAAAAGAAAGATAAAGTTTATCTTGATGTATGACGGAGGAAAGCTCCTTCTGCTGTGAAGTCAGCAGTAATTGAGCCAGGTCAAGTGGTCATTTGTTTTGAGTAAAAAAAAAGTTCCTTTTGGTGTGAAGTCAGTGATGAATGAGCCAGGTCAAGTGGTCATTTGTTCTGAGTAAAAAAAAAGTCCCTTTTGGTGTGAAGTCAGTGGTAAATGAGCCACGTCAAATGGTCACATATCCCTTCCAAGTAAAGCCTGTGTTTGTTTTCAGTCACAGTTATTTTAATTGAGAGCTCAAGAAATATGCTGTAATCATCAAATTTTAACTGTAGAGATTGAAAATTCATTTTTTACTCAGAACAAATGACCATTTGACCTGGCTCAACTACTGCTGACTTCACAGCAGAAGGAGCTTTTTTTACTCAGAACAAATGACCATTTGACCTGGCTCAATTACTGCTGACTTCACAGCAGAAGGAGCTTTTTTTACTAAGAACAAATGACTACTTGACCTGGCTCAATTACTGCTGACTTCACAGCAGAAGGAGCTTTTTTTTACTAAGAACAAATGACTACTTGACCTGGCTCAATTACTGCTGACTTCACAGCAGAAGGACCTTTTTTTACTCAGAACAAATGACCACTTTGACCTGGCTCAATTATTGCTGACTTCACAGCAGAAGGAGCTTTTTTTTGCAATGCAGTTTGACATTTCACTGCACGAAACCATGATATGTGCATTTTGTATGAAATGGGATACAAAACCTTGTATAATATAAATGAAAACTTCATACACAGTAGGAGTTAAATACTTGTTTCTTTAAATATTTTAAATTTTCTATACATAACAATGATATTTTACTGTAAAGTCATAAGACCGAAAGAGAGTTGATAAATTACGTATTGTACGTTTGGAGGAAGGAAAGCTAAATGGGAACTAATATTAAAAGAAATGCATCAGGAAAATACAACTATAAAAATAAATTGAAGTTCAGTTATCTTGTAAATAATGAATCATTCCAAAATTCAGTAATTTGCATAGATAACAGAAAATAATTTTAAGAGATTTTAAGAATTTAATGTTATTAAAATATTTGTTCTTAAAGGAGTAATCAAAACCTTGAAGGAGAGAGTGTTAAATGCTACATTGTTACCAACATTGTATTCAATAAACAATTGTTAGTATCACTAAAAAAAAATTAAATAAACTAGAATGTCAGATTAAGGCAGTTAGTTAATATATATAGCTTCTCAAGTGTTTATTTTTTGGATTTCCTTAATGTTTAGTATATGAATATCATATTTTGTTGGGTGAAAGGTTCTGTACGATTGTTTGTTAATGTGGGTTCTGGAAAAACTACTAGCTTTAAGTATTATCCAATATATACATCACACTCTTTACATACCGCTGTTAGATGGTTGGTTTTTGTATTATTATTATTAGTGCCATAGATGAAATAACTTATTAATTTTACCCACTCGTAACTTAGAAACCTTAAAAACCGAAGACTTGGTGTTCACATAGAATTCTAGGTTTTTTCCACTAATGCTCTTGATGTTAATATTGCCAATTTATATAAAAATGCAGATTATCTGCTTATGAAGCAACTATGAACAGTGTTTGCTTTCTATAACTCAAAGCATTTCCTAAATGTTACTGCATGATCGTCATGCAAGAAAATATATGCAAGCAACTGCACTCGGTGTGCACAAAGAATGAAATTAACCAACCAGTGTCACGTACCTGATTGGGTATGAGCTTCGGTGGCTCCGATTGGTTGGGGGATACTTTATAGCATGCACCTCTTACTATCTATCCATCCATACTACAGTTTATCTGTTATAAACTCCTTCATAACCTCTTACTGTCTATCCATCCATACCACAGTTTATCTGTTATAAACTCCTTCATAACCTCTTACTATCTATCCATCCATACCACAGGTTATCTGTTATAAACTCCTTCATAACCTCTTACTATCTATCCATCCATACCACAGTTTATCTGTTATCAACTCCTTCATAACCTCATACTATCTATCCATCCATACCACAGGAAAAGAAAGATAAAGTTTATCTTGATGTATGACGGAGA